TTGTCTAGAATCCTATGTGGATGACTTTATATCTGGATATGGAAAAGAATGCAGGCATTGGAAACACTGAGTTTCACATTTGCAGATGTTTTTATGAAAGAAAATGTAGCCTCTAGCAACAGCAGTTTTAAAAGCCATAATATTCACCTTTTTACTATATCTGCCCTTTTCTGTCTGAAGCTGTCATTAATGATTATCAAAAGGTAGAGGAGACCAAGAGTAAATTCTACCTAAAATAAATGTTCTGTCCTCATAGGAAATAAGTTCTTTTTAGAACTGCTGCTGTAGAATCTGAGAAGGGCTTCATAAAGATACATCTATACTGTAATAGCTAGTTTTCACATTTGATTTCAGAGGGTAAGATAAGAAATCCAAGTTGTATATGATTTTCAGAATTTGCTAGAACACAAAGAAAATGTGAGCAGAATTTATGTTATCAGCAACTTGCAAATTAATGGTAAGACAAAGCTGAGCAAGAAAGATCTCTTATATCCAAATGTGGAATAACATTAATAAAATTTTATACTACATTAACTATATTTTACTTATATTAACATAAAGTTGTTTATTCTGTAAATATTGTATATATTATAGGCTTTGGTTTATTGTAGCATTCACGTAAAATTTGCTGGTAAGACAGATATTCTAGTCAAAGGAATACAAGATGCACAGTGTTAAACCAAAAAGATGTGAAACCTTCTTGCTGGAGATTTTCTGTTTCTGCTTGGTGGATAATTCTTTCATTTTCCACAGAAGCTGGTCATTCAAACTGACATAGTAATTTTCTGACTGGCTAACTGGGAATACCTCATTTCTGAGGATAGCATGACATTTTGATACTCATTAGTTTAAAATGTCATCTGGAAAGAAATTGCCTAATGTTTGGCACTTAAAATATTTGAGGGTTATTGCAAGTGAATACTTCTCGATTCATTTTCATATCATTTTTACTCTTGTTTAATTAATATGAAATCATGGCATTATAAGGAGCTTCTCTATAAGTATATACAACAAGTAATAAATGAGGATCACTTTGGTTTATCCATGGTTTTCTTAAAAAAAGGTTTGGATCAGGATAAAACAGAACACCTCACTTATGAATTGTTCTCACCATCCTTGGGACTTCTCAGAAGTACATCCTTGGGACTTCTCTTTCAGTACCTATTAGAGTAGGACTAAAGAGTATCTATACCTCCTCCTATTTCAGAGATCAGAACTTGGACCAGCGCATGTGTGCTTCCTTGTTTGTAAAATTCAAATACACAATTAATTCAACTTCTGTATGATCTAAATGACTCTTTTTTCCCCTTATTATATTTTATATGCCATGTTCACCAGTGCAAGAAAAATGTGCTCACAATGTTTTGACTTGGATTAGGATGAGGGATGTGATGAGGACGATAGGTGTTTGCTGAAGTGTCAATAGCAAATAAGACTTTACCAACTAAATCACAGGGTTATCCCCTGAAGTATTGTCACATGGAGCCGGATTGAGACTTTCTGGGAAGAATGTTCAAATTCCAAATCTTTCAAAATTTGTGTGGTTCCTTTAATAGAAGTCATACTAAGTGTGTGCATATGTGTGCAGGCAAAGCTCTTGGGGTTCTTTAGGTTGGTTACTCCCTCCTGATAGCACTGGGGGTCATGAAAACATGCAAGCAGGCTTATTTCTGCAAAATGCCTTTAATGCATATTATCAATGCTTAAAAGAGGAGAAATAGGCTAGCTGGCTGATTCTCTCGTTAATTTAGATTCTGGGTTTGTTAATCAATTTGATATTCATGATGTGTTGGCCTAGCTCCATGTATGAAAATAACAAGGCTCTGAATGAAGCAAAACCTTTGAAAAGATTTTCATGGTCTTTCATTAGTTTTTAAGCCATGCTTTATGGGGTTTTTTTTACTAACAATATGGAGTTTGTTGTATTATCACAGTAGTTCAGTATAATCCCAAGGCCAAAACACAATTTGTTTTTTCTTAAATCTTACAGCTGACAGTGTTTGGTTTATTAGCACAACATCCTTATAATAAATCTAAAATAAAACTAGAAAACGCACATAATCTTGCAATTAAAGTTTAAAGTTTTAGGACTAATTTATGGATTAGGCTCAGAGTTAAAAAAGTAGAATTCAGTGACATGAGTTGGCATCCTGGTTCTGGTTGAGGAGGCTGCTTTTACATCTTTGGAGGACCTTCAGAGGACCTTGAGGTTATTTCAAATTATAAAGATGTGAAACATTCAGTATGAGGAAATGCAGTTCTTAGAAATTATCCATAATGTGCTCATATCAGGCTTTTTACAAATAGTCTTTTTCTTTATCAAATTTTCAGGGGAAAAGGTAAATATTTAAATTAAAACCACTATTATACCACAGAATCACAATCCCTTCTGAGCTGGAACAGACTCAAGGATCAACTCTTAGGTGAATGGCCTGTACATGGATCAAACCTGCAGCCTTGGTGTTATTAGCACCATGCTCTGACCAACTGAGCTCATCTCAGAGTCACAGGGAATATTTGCATGAATATAAGGGAACTTAAATGATTGATCAGCAGTAATAAAATTCCTGAACTAATGCTGTCCACAAACCTAATTGGTCCCTATTCACTTGGTTTGGAGGTGATTGGGTTAGAGACCATTTAATCCAACTTGACATCCAGAAGTCCATGGTTCCTGATGGGATGCACCCAAAAGTGTTGAGGGAACTGATGGACATCATTTCTAGATCATTCTCAATCATTTTGGAAAGGTCACAGTGATAAGGAGGGGTAGCTGAGGACTGGAAGAAGGCAAATGTTACCTCAGCCTTCAAAATGGCAAGGAGGGCCTAGAGAATTACCAGCCTCACAATCCTTTGTTTTCAAGATACTAAATTTAAGATGCTCTGTGATATTACATAGTCAAATACCACAACAATATATTCATAATGTCTTGAAGAGTCTTAGTTTTACTTCAATTTACAAATACATTTTTTTAATGTAAACAAGTCTACTGAAAATGATAGCTGTGAACAATGTCTAGATTTTAGGGCTCATTCTAATTTTAAGAGTTAAGGCAGCATTTCTTTCACACTTCAGCAAAATATATGTTCTGAATTGCTTGTACTATGAATTTGTTTACTAGTAGGTTTATTATACCTGTATATTGCTTCCTACTATAAAAAATCTCTTGTGATAAGCTGAGATAATATTATTTCAAGAGCTTATAAAAAAGCCCTTGAGACAATATTAAAACATTTTCAGGTTGTTGCAAAGAAAGTAGAAATATTGGAAAGATCAATATTGTCAACAGTGATGGACTAGTCTGATGAAGTGATTCATTATTTCAGTTCCAGTACTCATGAACTTTGCTGAGAGGGTGTCATGCTGAATGCCCCCTAACACATTGAGATGCTGATCTGCCTTCTAAACTGGTGAAAACTCTGTTTCCATTAAGTATGCAAAAATCACATCTCTCTGTAGAAGTAAAGATGCCACAGAATGGATGAATTTAGGGAAGCTATGCCTTCAATTTGGTAAAAGAGTTTTAAAGTTTGCTTACAAATCAGCAGGGTCTTGTAATGAAATAGCACAGTTTTCATAATGAAGTGATTCTGAATTTAAACATTGTCTTCTTGGGATTTGTAAACTCTTAGAGGGCAAAGTGTAAGGATCACATTTTCAAAGGAGAATTACATGCTCAATTTCTGTTAACTAATCCTTTAGGCAGGATTGAAAATCTCTACATCATGAATGCCACTGAGGAATCAGCTTGTTAACATAATGGGTTCTGAACTGAAGGGGAAAGATATTGGAAAAGAGGGGTAAAAGTGGGTGATTCTGCATACAAAATGCAGTGTTAATTGGTGATTTTATTTCCCCGTTTCTCTCCTTTGTAATTATTTTCCTTAAGGTTTGATTTTTCACATCATGGCAGACAGCAGTGGGGAGGAAAGGACGTTCTCTTTCCTTTGTTCTTCCAGTGGGTAGCTGACACTATCCTGTGTTGTGCCTCTGTCTGGGAAGCTGGGGAGCAGAGCTTTCTTCATTTTCTGCCTGCTTCTGCACACTACGTGGAGGAAGGGCACACAGCTAATGTGCCCTTGCAGTGTAGATATGAAGAGCTAAGGGTAAGGATCCTGACCATTGTTACTAATAAATGAAGTTTACGTTGTTAAACTTGGCCCCCAAAAGAGCAGAATTCTTCCACCTCTAACTTAGAGGCAGAGGTCTTCATCTGAAAGTCAAATCAAAAATGTAGGCACATAGCAAAGTGTGTGCCCTCAGGAAAACAGGTATGAACTTTGGGACTGATGAAGAAACAATTCTGTCTCGGGCTCTTTGTGGTTTCTGAGTTCTAAAAAATGCCCTGTCATGTAAGGGGCATGGTCATTGAAGGTACCTTGGTGCTCTCCTGAAACCCATGTAGTAAATGGGCATAAGAAATCTTTACTATCATGCTGGGAAGAGTATCTGTGAAGGGGTAGGAGAATAGATGCTTCCATCTCAGCATATTGGAAAATATGCCTTATATAGAAACTTCTTCCAGCCTTCAGTGGAAATCTCATGCCTAGTTTAATGGAAATATTCTAAAAGAAATATTTAAATATATTCAGATATCCATGTTTGAATTATTTGGGCCCTAGACTTGACCTGAGAACACAAGGTCTCTCTATCTCTTTAGGAAATAGATTAAGAGAAAAAAGAAAGAAAAAATAAAAATAGAACAATAAAATCAAACTTATTTAGGTTTCCTTTTCTGAGAAACTCTTTGAATTTATTTAATGAAGCTGAACCACAGGAAAGAGAATGGAGAAAGAAAGTCTAAAAGATGAAAAAGGAGTTGTCATGTATTAATAGCAGTGCCAGTGCAAGAAATACTGACATTCAGGTTTGATTGGTAGTGAAACAAAGGCAAAAATGTATGAGGAAAATGTGCAGAATGAACAAAAGATCAGTATAGCAATGATGTGAGATGCGAATATTTAACATTATTGCTCTAATCTTATCTAGAAACATTTCACAGACAAATACAGTTGCACAAGCAGAAATGAATCAAATGAAAATGACATCCAGGTCAACGAGGCAGCGCAGCCCTCAGCAGTTTAACCACGTGATGGTCCCAAGACCCACAGTGATGCTGCCAGCACAGCCGCCCACAGAGCCTGCCAAGCATCCAGATGCTGCTGGAAGATGAGGACCTTCCACAGTTGCCATTTAACTCTTGAGAGGGAGGTAATGGTGTTCAGATTTTTTTTTAATGACTGAATTACATCTTGCTTTAATAGATGAATTAAAATTCCCATATGCTCCTACAAGTGTTTGAGTAGACATGTGGTGAAGTGCATCCTATTCTAATAAGAACCTTGTTTTTTCTAATAGAAAATTAATACTAACATAAATACATCCCAGATTCATCATGCTACTTTAATAATGTTGCATTTATTTTGTAAGGAAAACCAGTGAAGGCTTGATTTTTTCTTATTAAAAAAATCGTTAATGATAGATGTAACATCTAGTGGAAACCTGGCAGTACTCATCTCATACCATTAACTTCCCAAGCACAGTTTCTCTACTGTCAATGCTCACCTTTTGACTTTTTTTGAAATGAGATTCTCTTAGCAGTAATCATAAGAAACTGTTATTACACAATCTATGTGATATTTTTTTTTCAGAGCACTAATTAGATGTCTTTGCATCAGGGACTTTCTAAGACATAGAAACACCCACACATTATTGAATCAAATTTATTGAAAATACCCATTAAAGACTTCAAGATTTTCTCTGGGGTTTGTAGAGAAGCCATTTGGACTCAAGATGCATGCAAGGACTCCAGCTAGCACACTCTTCACATTTCCACTGAGGACTGTTGTTTTAGGTAGTTGTAAATCTATCTATTATTACACTCCAAATTTTTAGGAACTGATTACAAGAAGATTTATTTCTATTAAAAATAAAAAGAAAGAAAAAAAAGAAGCAATGCCAGGAAGACACCATAATTATTGCTTGTATAGAAGCACCACACTTAGAGGTGCTGGTAGTTGACCTTTACTACAAAAGGGAAATACAACTATCCTTGAAAATGAATGGCAATTTCAGTCTGGTATGAACTGTAACAAGGATAGTCTATATAATACATGGTTGTCATCCAACACCAGCCAAGGAAAGTTGATACTCAAAAGTCACTCTCTTGACATCTATGGCAACCTGCTTTAGAATATTGATTCCTGTAAAATAAGAAATAGAGCAACTAAGCATGATAAGTCAGGTAATATTCTGGTTCTAGGTTACTTGATAAATGCTATTGCAGGACAGTTTAAGGCTGGAGTAAGAAACACATAGGGAATAAGGGGGAAATTAATTGTCTGATCTCTAGTTCTCTGACTCTAATCATAGAAGTACTTGTGTTAGTTTATCTCTTCTGACTCTGACCATTGTTAATCCACAAAGACGACAAAGAATAGGAACAAGTACACACTTTTGTTATGCTGTTTCATTACAGAAGTGGTGAAAAACCTCTTTTTTGTGTGTGTGTATGGTTTTTTTTAGTAAATAGGAGTATACTCCTGTCAAAAACATTAACTGAATGAATGAAAGATTTCTTTCCTGATGATCCTCTTAATATTTAGTACTACACTCTCTTCACATTCTTTTTACATCAGTTGCATGTCTAGCTGATAACTGCAGAAATTTTGGCATCCACAGAGGAATTTTATGAGAGATACTAATAGGCAGATATTTTTAAAATGTCACTATTACTTTAGAGTTGCATATATGCAAAAGATGACAGTGGTAATGTTTAGATTTTTCATGTTTCCCCTGGTCCTTATGGGATCAGGAGATGCAATTAAGGAACTGAGAAGAAATGAAAACTTGCACTAATTTTGTAAATTTCAACTTTTCCTTTGCGGAATATCCAAACAAGGATTGCTACCTTCCTTCACTGTATATGACCTAAATATTTTTCTGAAATTGCAGTGATGTGCAAACCTAAATTAATCAAAATGTTAAGAAGAAAGTATGCCTCAGGATAAATATGGGGTGAATTTTGGATGTTGGATATCCAGAATACTGGATATCTACTGTGTAAGTTTCAGAAGTTTAGAGTTTAAAAAAAAAAGATTTTAAATAAACAGAAGACTTCTTGCCCAGCTACAAAAGCCTACCTAGTGCCCGACTCAGACAAAACGTGTAAAGCCCTTTGCTGTGTTGATGCTTATCTGAAGAATTTCTGAGGGGTACACTAGAGAAACTTATTGGGAATCTTACCAATAATAATAATAAAAATCTTAAGAATTCAAAATCCTGTTATGCAATATTAATTTATCACTCCCCTGGATGGTGACCTCGCAATGTTTAAATAATGTTTCTCCAAGCTCACTCTCATCCCAAAGCAAGCAAGGGAAGGTTTTGGCAGTGGTCATAGCCATTACAGAAGCCCAAAAAACTTCCCACCTTAAAAGCAAGCAATTTTTGTCATGTCACAGAGTCACCATCTGTAAATACAGGTAAGAGTTTTGGTTTTAATTTTCAACATATGGGTATGTCAGATACAGATAAGACTATGCAGAGTGAACTCCGGGTTTCTGTCATCATAAATAATATTTTAGTGGCTTTATTGTCTAGGAATTTTGGTTTTTGTTTGGTTCATTGATTTTGTTTTTGGTTTTCTGTTTTGCTTTGTTTTTGTTTTTTTTTGTGGAGTAGTTGCATTACTTTGATTTATAAATATATGTGTGAGAAGCATTCATTTTTCAAATGAGGGGGAATTTTTTGCATTCTAATCTGAAAGCTACATATGGTCTCTATGACAGCAACAGTGTCTATTGCATCTTTACAGTAGTCTTATCACTACCCAGAAATGACAGCTTATGACAATGTCAAAGGTACATCCAAATGGAAATTGTGACAAAATTTGACTGGCAGAACGTGGTTTAAAAAAAAAATAAATTGAAAATGATAACTGATTGAAACACTAATCACCAATGTACACTAAAAAGGTGTAACATTCACTGTAGCTGAAGTTCCAACACAAATGACTGAATTTAACCAGTTCAGCACATGGGCATCATTCCCAAGAGTCCTGGAACACTAAAATTTTCACATCTTTTGAGTAGATTATTTTTGTAACATAGCTGCTTTGAACTTCCACACTTCACTTTTTTTGACAAGTTAAAATCATAAGGTGGCATGGAGTCACTGTGGCAACAAGGTTTTTGTACAGCTTAGGCCAAATGGAAGAAGAGAAAGGATGGCCTCTGTGCATTTAAACCCTGGAGATTTTTATTGCCATGACAGGGTTTAGACTTTGGAGACTCAACAAGTGCAAAGATCTGGGGTTTATTTTCAGCTCTAGCACTGTTGTGGTCATAGGATGCTTTACACAAACTCCCCTTAAATTTCCCTCTTACTTCCCTGTTTCTTATTTACAAGTAGCTGGAATTCAGAACATGATCCAGTAGCTCAGAATCTGGACTACTATTTATATCCCACGTTAAGGAACTTCTGTGTATATATTAAAATGTAATTTAGGGTTGAAAATAATGAAATATTTATTTTCAGCCTGCACAAAGAGTTGCAGGAAGTGATTAGGAATAAAAAAACTAACCCTAGGAGACCTGGTGATTTGCTTCCAACTTATATAAAGTAAATTTTTAAAAATGCTGCTTTGAAGTGTACTACACAGAGTATGATTTTTAATGTTCTTATTTCAAATGGAATGTAATAGACATGATAGACATGAACTCCCACCAGAGTTTAATTCTGTGCTGTACCATATCATTGTCTTGTTTTGTTAAAAGTTAAACCTTTGAATTGCCACTACCTTTAAATTGCAAAAATTCATGAAATTGCCATGTGATGAAGATTCTACTTCGTTTAAGGCATCAGGTGCTTTCCTTTGATGTTATGGAGTGATGGAATTTTTTTCCCTATCCTTTACAAATAAAATTTCATCAGCTGATTGTTTGACCACAGAGTCAGCTTGACATTCATAAGAATGTGGGATACTTGCTTCTAATTACCAGTCTATTATTTAATTTATTAGAAACTGATGTATATACAACTGAAGAGAAACATGATGAAAAATTTCCCAAAGTAGAGAAACAAAACAAAAAATCAACTATTTTTTCTGGGTTTTTTTCTAAACTGTGGGATGCTTATTTCATGTTTGTACCACTAACACATGTAGTGTATTATAATGGCTAGGTGGGAAGAATTTATTAATCCCATAATTAATTTAAAAAGTCTAATGTTTTTCTTTTTATAACATGCAGCTCTTCTTTTATGCCTGTTCTGTTGCTGCAGAGTCTATATAAGATTTCACAACATGCTTATTTCTTTTACTATGAGGAGTGGTCAAATGCATTTTTCCCCAACAAAATCAAAACCTTAACAAATTACCTTGGTGTTATGTTCAGTCTGGCACCTCCTGCGAATTCACAGCACAAAGAATTTTCAGCATAAAGAAAACATTTCACTCTGAAGTCTTTCCCCCTGATTCTTTGTGAGAGCTGGGGAGGCAGCTGGAGAAGCAGGAAAGCCATTCTGGATGTGATCCCGAGCTACTTCTGTCATTGCCTGTCCATGGAGGGCTCACAGTGTCCCAGGCAGAATGGAAATTTCAGACAAACTTTGTCAGGGAGAACCTCCTGCTAAGTCATGAGATTCAGAAAGACCTCCCTTGGTTTCTAACACCCTTCTCAGTGAGGAGTCTAGGTGTGGCTGGATCCAATTCTATCCCCAGATTTGGTCAACAATTTGTGTCTAAAGGGTTATATAGGTGCAACTGAGCTTTTATACAACATTGTCCTGCAGGGTTAAAGATGACAACCTAAATATATTTCTTTTTAAGCAATAAATTATTTGTTTAAATTGATGATAATAGTGATAATGATTAGACTAAAAGACTTTAATCAGAATTATTTGCTACACAACACAGGTCATTAAAACTACTAGTAATGTGCATTATTTATTGAAGCAATATTAAAGCAATGATGTTAAATCTAGCAAAATAATTAGAGATTGATGTTACTCATCCATACCAATGACTGTTGGCAAATCTCTTTTTCTGTGCCTGAAGGATTAAACTTGAAAAGCGTCCCAGCTTAAGGGAGGAAGCTCCACACATACTTCAAGAAGCAGTGTGTTATAAGACCCTGTCTTTAAAAGTGGGACTGGCCTTTCACAGTCCAAAGTGATTGTCAGTCATGTTTGTAGGTGAGCCATGCAACCTT